GAAACGTGAACAGATACGGAAATTTAATAGCGGCATGCTAAATTCCCGGTGGCCCTTTCTCAGTGTCATAGAAAAAGTTGTCTGGGAAGGATGAGGAAAATAAAAGTTTAATCGAGTCAGTATTCAGATAAAGGCGTAGCCTTCTCTTAAAGGTGTGTAGATTTTCTGAAGATCTTATATTTATTGGAAGGTTATTCCAGAGGAAAGTATACCTGGAAGCGAAAAAAAGGGAGCGCTTAGAGGTGGAGGACGCTGGAAGAGGTATAATTAGAGACGAATTGCGAAGATTGTATGGGCGACTACTAGGGGTAAGTGCTGAAATCCGAGGAAAATTTGAACTATGATTAATGCGAAAGAGGAGACAGAAGCCCGCTTCTAGTCTTCGAACCCATAAAAATTTTAGGTTAGTTAGTTGGCACCTATCTGAGTAGGAGATATTGGGATGTTCCCTATCTAAAAGTTTTTTTGAAAAACGTCTTTGGACATTTTCAATTTTTAAACGACTGGCTTCATTCAATAAACCAAAGAATGGGCAACAATACTCGAGAATGGGAAGTACAAACATACGATAGAGCCTTAATTTAATTTCAGGAAGATAGAAATTGTAAGAAATAAAGCCACAAATCTGGGCAGCTTTGGCTGTAATTCTGTTAGCGTGCGGCGAGAGATCAAGATTACTAGTGTAGCTTAAACCTAAATCCTTGATGGTGGTACATTCAGTCATAGGTGTTCCTTGAAAGACCACAGGTTGGGGTAGCCTATCAGGTCCAAAACACATATAACGACATTTAGACGGAGAGAATTCCATTAGCCATTTTGAGCTCCAAGCTGAGAGAGCAAGCAAGTCAGCATGGATTTGCTCCAGGCAATGAAGGCTCGTAGATTTTTTGAAAGAATATACACATTTGAGATCATCGGCATAAATAAATGATTGAGAATGTTTAACTGCGGCTGAAATATATTTTATGTAAAGCAAGAACAAAAGAGGACCTAAAACGGTACCTTGTAGGACACCGCTCACAATAGGACTTTCACTGGAAAGTGAAGATCCCACCAAAACCTTTTGTTTACGATTAGACAGGTATGACCTGAGAAAGTCTATTAGTGGACTGCGAATTCCCATAGCTTCCAATTTAACCAAGAGTCTTTTATGTGGCACTTTATCAAAGGCTTTACTAAGATCAAAATAAATTACGACAACAGAAAGGTGATCATTACGAAGAGAGGTAAGTAGATCGAGAAACGACAGATGACATGTTTCACAAGAGCGATCTGGTAAAAAACCATGCTGGGAAGGGCTAATAACTTGATTGGCTATGCAAAATTCGGTAATTTTTATGGCGATAATTTTTTCAAAGATTTTGGCGAGAGAGGGTGTTTTATGGACACCTCGATAGTTCTGTACGTCAGAACGACAGCCAGACTTAAATACTGGAATAATAATAGAAGTTTTCCAATAGTCAGGGAAGAAGCCATTTACGAGAAATACTGAAAAGATTTTGCTAAGCAGAGGAGGAAAATCTCTTAGTTGTTTTATCAAAGAGTTTGGGATATTGTCCGTACCTACTGAGTGAGAGTTAGGAAGATGACTTATCAGTTTTTGAATACATTCAGGAGAAAAATTAATGAAGCTATGAGAAGCATCAGACAACGAAGGAATTAAAGGGATCGGATCAGTTTCAATGGTGAAATACTTGGCAAAGAACGAATTTAAAATTTCTGCTTTGCCTGACTCCTCTGTAATGAAGGCATCACTTGCACTAAGCAAGGGCGGAATGACTTGGTGGGACTTAGCAGATGATCTCTGACGGAAGATCTGAGCAACTGATTTAGAAGCATTCACGTCATTAATAGCTAAAGACTCTCTACGCCTATCTCGCTCGAGCCTCATTTTCGAAGCTAGTTCAAATATTTCAACGATTCTTAGATGAACTGATAATGAACTCACAGAAGGATCTTTAAACTGCTTCCGTAACTTTTTAAGTCTGTTTTTAAGAAAGTGTGGGATAGCGGTGGAATTAGCACTCGGTTTGAACATCTTCCGAGGAATAAGGTCAAGAAGACCTTCTGTTACGCATTGTAATAAATTGTTGAAAAAATTTAAATCATTATTTGAAAAAATATTGTGCCAATCAAGAGTGCATGTAAAGTTATTTACTAAAACCTTATTAACATTAGCAAAGTCAAAAATACTACGTTGAACTGTTGGCTTTGCGGAAATGGCAACTGGAAGGCGACAATGAATTAATGCATGATCACTTGCAAAGAGGTCATGATAAAAATCCATAGATAAAGGGAAGGTGCCATTAGTAAAAATTAAGTCTAAAACACTATCGTTTCTGGTCGAAGAGTGAACTAATTGAGTCAGGTTTGAAAAGTAAATTGTGTCAAGCAGCTTCTGGAATTTAGGAGGAGAAGTATGTGTGTGCCAGTCAATTTCTGGCAAATTAAAATCGCCTACGATTATCTTGACATCGAAAGAAGTTTCTGCAATTTTTTCGAAGGGTTCACAAAGTTGGCTTTCATTTCCGGAGGAACAAGGAGGATTATATACACATCCGACTAAGGCTTTCCTATTTTGAGGAAGGATTACCGAAGCAAAACATAAATTTCCAGAGAAGGAGGAAATGTCCAAGTTATAAGGCGATTGTGCAAGTGATGCTCTTATGTAAAGAAGGCATCCACCGCCGCGTCTGTCGGCACGGTCCTGGCGGTATAAACTAAGGCTATCTATGTTAAGTACCGAGTCTGAAATTAGAGAGTGGGCCCAAGATTCAGTAATGCACAATACGTCTGTGTAAAATCATCGCAGTCAACATAATGACCAAAGGATTCAAGAGAAGGCACACCAAGAATGCAGCATCCATCGAGGAGGCCAATAACCAGTTCGAGGTGCTTCTTTTGTTCTTCAGCATTTTGACCAGCCACCAAGAGGTCATAATTGGACTCGAAGCTGACTGAAGCCGATTGTATCTGGATCCCTATCGTCTCGAGACTGGTTTTCTATTCGCCACTGTGACACGAATGGCCTCATCCGGCATATGAATTCTGCCTTGATGATGTCCATTTCGAACCTTTCACTCAATACAACATACAGGCCAGTCCTGTTGACCCGCGAACTTACCTCTTCAATAAATGCCTGATACACTACCATATAAAGACCGTCCTGTCCGCTTTTTATACTTTAATTAGCGACATTTGTGCTTCCTAATGTGTCAATGCAGTCATATTCATTTTGTTTTTTTTTTCATTTTGATTCTTTTCCACCGCTAGCTAATAATTCTTGCTACATACTTTATACTTGATAACGATGAATTAAGTTTTGTAACGATTCTGTATACCTCTTTTAAAATTCGTGTAAAATTTATTCTTACTCGCTATGAACGGACCCCCACGGGTCTTGAATAAGAGTTATTACTATTATTATTTTGGACGTCCACCAACGGCAAGCCAGGTGCTACGTAATGGATGGGAGTCTGAAACGTCTGGTGGCGTTCCTAAGGTCGATGGGTATGCAAGTGAACTCGAGGAGACCGAAATGGAATATTTATAGCCATGTTAGAGATACGTTCTAATGCCAGAGTTATTTAATAAAAGGCACACACTTGGCCGACCTTTAAGAAAACCGGTTTGTTAAGGAGGGCACCAACGAAAGTCTGAACGTGAGGCAATGTGTGCTGCTCGGCAATGGTGGCGTTGTTGAGTGCACAATAGTTGGCCCAAGTTCCCCATTCACCCGATATCCCCTTGAACACCATTTGCAGAGGAGACGCCCGGAGATTTTTGAAGGCCGAATGATGCCTAATTGCATCCTGATCTTAAAGTATGTCTTCGCGGACCAATTGCGGGCCGTGACATTTCGTTATGGTTGATCAAAAACAAGCGAGCCTTTGGTAGATATATAGATAATTTTTATTAAAGACCCGTCGGGGTCCCATCAAAGCAAGTTAAAATAAATGTACATACGAGTTTTAGACGAGGTAGGCAGAATCTTTACGAAATGCACTTCATAGTTTCTGAATAAGTAGTCCATTGAGAAACATGATTGGTGGGGATGTGATGCACAATATCGTGTTGGACTTCGCTACCCGAAGCTGGTAGTTTATGATGTTTGGATTTTATATGGAGGAGCTACTGATAAGGGCGATAAATATCTGTATCTAGAACAAATAAGTTGGAGGAGGTTGCGAAGAGACTCAACCCGGTCGTGCGGTCAAGCAGTCGGAAGAGTCAACAATGCACAATGAGATCAAACTCGACTAGATGATTGTGGCAGAGTATTGTACGGAGGTATTGGCAACCACGAATACTCAGGAGAATGGCCGACGTACGGTGGTGTTCATTGTGGGGACGGGTTGCAAAACGTGGGAATGGGGATAGCGTTGACAGCTTGGAGGTGAGAATCGAGGTTGGGACGGCGACATTTGACTGGAGTGGAAGTAATCATGCTGATTTGGGCTCCGGTATCCACAAGAAAACCTTTCCAAATCAAATTTGACGTCAGATACCAAACAAACGTCTCGTGTTCCGGTACACCATGCATCGTCTTCAAACCTATGGGAAGAACTACACTATTCAAATAACTCTAGAATGAAGTAGACTTAAGTTAAGTAATTCCTGGGTCAACTTTCAGTGCAGTTTGGTTGGAGCCTTAACTCCCCAATCAGAATAACCATTTATGATATTAAGATACAGTAAAGCAAACATAGCCAGCAGCAACTTGTCTGATCGTTACTAACATGCTTTGTTTTTACAGGCTTATTGTTTACTAGTGCTGTCAACTTTTCGAAATTTTCGATGACGCTTGAGGAAGACGAAGAAAAGATTTCGAGTAAACGGATTTTTCACTCTCTTAAGTTCCACAAAAACCTAAAACATAAATTCTGCGTATTTCGCCTCCATGGCCGGTACAGCGAAAATTCCGACTTCTGTCCTTTGTAGAGGACATATTCTCCCAAACTGATTTGGCTAAATAAATATATTTATTTTAGTTACTTTGATGGTTGTAACCACTAAAACCAAGATTTGAATCCTTTGCACGGTTAAGATAATCAAAGGCGGGCTAGGGTTTGAGTAATATCCCTATATGTATTAGACATTTCTGTTCTTTCGTGTGATATCACATGCAATATATATGGCATGGATACCAGGGGTAATCGGCATAGGAAAGGAGGGATCTAGACTATACCGCGAACAATAAGAGGTTCGGAGATTTGCAGTACCGCCAGACGGTCTGATATGGCCAGGTGGTAAAAACGACAATTACAAGTTGTCCCCCTGCGTATCTTTTTGATGAGGAGGCCACATCGGGGATCTGCCCCGCCATAGCCCCTTCCCAGCCCCTTCATAGCCCTCTCGCGAGGCGAAGCTAGAGGGAGCACGAGGGACTGGTATTGGCAGGGCATAGAGACTTATGTGTGCCCATAAAATAAGAGAAATGTCTAATACATGACCATGGTCACACGTTGTTATGCAGTTGGCGGTCATTCATAAAAATGACCATCCGTGGCATGAACGACGTTCTTATGCGCATAATTCGACTTCGATTTATCCTGCAAATGTTAGGGAGTTTATAAATTTCCACGTTAACATTAATGAAGACGCTACTCGAATATCACTTTAATTTATTCTAAACTGCACGACGCAATATCGGATGGGACAGAGCATCTTCGTCTACAATCACCTAGGTGATTGTAGACGAAGATGCTCTGCAGTGTTTGAGGCATATGTCTCAAACAAGCCAATATGTAAATTTCACGAACTGTGCGATGTTTAAATTATAAATTAAAACGACATCTTTTATGGCAATCTTTAAGGTTAAGTTTTTATTGTCTCGTTATCAATCATTAGCTCTTGTTGTTGAGGTACCGCAAACTAACGATGGATGGAATTGCAGAAATGGACACTTCAGCATCCCACAGTTTTGCAACGCATAAACCTGAGTCATTGTTTTTTGGGCACTATGTAATATCTTGTGTTTACCTTATTCTGAGCTAGAATTGAACACAAATATTTTATTTTTGTCCTTTATTAAATATACGTCCATTAACGCCAGTACATAATCCTGATTTCAATCTGCTGCTTTAGAAATAACCGTTCAATTTAAAATGGTTATGACCCGCTCGAACTACGTTTGAGCAAATAGTACACAAACGACCCAGGCTTAAATATTACAGATCGATGTATGCAATTTTATCAGCGCTAGCTATTTTACTACCCCTTGTTTTCGTGGATAACAATACCCGTAAGTTACTTGAGTCTTAATACAACGTTACTAAACTTTGTGTCTCATTAAACAGAAAGTTTGAATCTGACCCACCGTGATGTACTACATCTCACAAAGATGATTTACTCTTTTTTATATAGATTTCATGATGCTGAATTTTAACCTTGCGTACATTCTCACTTTCTTTATGCACGCCTTCTACATTTGTTCGGGTTTTGCCTTAAATTTCTGGAAACAAATAATTGTCACGCCTCTATAATATTCCTGTAAGCATTTCACCCAAAAGATAGTGAATATTGCGGTAAAACATTTGACCGGATTTAAAAACCGCATGTATTAAGTGCTACACCTGACAGGATTTCGCATTCTTCCCAGAGTTATTCAAAACAAAGTATTTTAACAGTAGAAAGCACAGGTACTAATTGTAGCTCATCTTCTGCCCAGTCGTCGCTCTATGGGAATTTGTCAGTTGTAATCGCCCGCTCCGTGGCTTCCGATGGCACCTCAGAGTTAACGCCAGAGTCCTCTTAATTTTTAAAAAAAGAGTAGGAATTTCGTTATACAATAGGTCGTTTGCTGGTTTATTTTTCTGTCTCTACGGATGGACTACATATGTAGACTTATTCACGACATCCACATTACGATGGGCGACATTTATACTTCATAAAGGAATTATGGTTTTATTCCTAAATGCTCCCATAATGCGAAGAAGGAAAATTTGCTCGCGCATTTAATTAAACTTCCACCAGCACGATGGCCACTGGCCTGTTTTGCACCTGCACCTGTTTGCGAGTGACAGGGTTTTCTATTGACTTTTATCTAACCAGTTTCTCTTGCGAATTGTAAAGTTAATTTACTCTTTTCTCCGCCTAATCAACCTGATTTCAAGAACATCGGACTTTCCTAAGGTGTGCGATCAATATTTACGGGATACAAATCATAAATAACCGACGGCAGTTTTTTGAAACAGGGTTTCACGCGTGTGAGGGCTGTTTGATGAACATATTCTGATTATCCATTGATCGCGCGTTATGCAGTTATCTGTGTGCGTCTTTAATCGGAAATCCGGATTAAGATGAGATTGTTTCGTAGTCTGGCCTACGATCAGGATAGACTTGCAACCAACTCTCTGATGCGTAAATGAATATTACCGACAACTTTTGGCAGAAAATGAATCTATGTTTTAGTTGATATTTCATTGGCTCAAATGCCCTACGACCAACTGTTTATTGTTCAAGTCATTGCTGATTTCGATGTGGGGTTAGTGCGTGACTGGTTGATAAAGAGGAATGACTTGCAGCTGCTTTCTCAGCCTCTACTCTCTCACATGGACTATTACCCCACTGAGCCACAGGTTCAAATCGTGTTTCATTGAAAGAGTGATTTATTTCTGTCTCACCTTATATATAAAAATAGTTTATGGAAGCCATTTTTGCGCTTTTGATGTTTGTTTCGTATCTTGTGCCAAAGAATGATTTCAGAAACTCGTGGTCATTTTTAAAAAATTAACTTTACTATTTTGTTGACAATGGCAGCTTCTCCGATTATGCAAACTGGCTCTTATTAAGTCGTCGTTTACATAGTGCCCATAAAAGATGGTCACATTTACCTTAGTTCCTTCTAAGTAGTATAGAAAGGAACTCCTCCACAGAGGGCCAGCATGACACTGGACGAAATTCTGAAATGGCTTATTATAATGCCCGGTTTTACCTTTGTTAGAACGTTCATCCAACCAAAGTTCTATTAACAGAAGGCTTTGTGAGACTCGCCATAATGCCATAGACTGACTCCAAAGTAGACAGGAACTCTCAAAGTTCTCTCATTAACTTAAGGGGGATTTTGCACAACAGTCTATAGTAGAGGCTACTCATGATTCGTCTTTCTTCAAAAAGGGTGCTTAAAGGGAGCGTACATTTTAAAAATTTATTTTTTTACTTTGTATATTTTTCTTATTTATATACATTTAAACGGTCGAACCGACAGATAAATGGAAGTAGTTCATTTAATCCATGTCCAGATTACGTTCTTTATATTAATAAGGGGGTAACTTGGACGATTATTTTCATCGTTGCTTAAATAGGCAGGCCGTTTAAAGAATGAAAACCCCAAATTTTGTGGCGGCCTTAGGTTAAGCAAAATAATGAATACCTGTTTCTGCTGTTATTGTCTCAAACTACGCGTCTCAAAACTGGCAAAACATTCGGGCAGCCTACCTTACCCAAGGTTAGGGTCAAGCTCTGGTTACGAAACGAACCGTTTTGCAATAAGTACTTGCGTTTGTCAGTTTAAACCAAGATTCCGGCTTTAGACACTGACCGATTTACCGAGAAATTGACGCCTACATAAAGTATTTTTAACAATTTAACCTCTTTAAAAGTCTACAGATCGTGTGCTTCAGTCCTGACTCTAGGAGCTGGTTCTGCAACTTCTTATACTTGCATTTTGGGCTCTTGCAGATCACAATGAACAATTGGTGAAACAACGGTAAAAATTCCAAAAAAACTTACATGACTGTCTCGGCGGCCCATTCGTGTGGCGCTGAAAAACAAAGGCCACAAACCCCCGAATCTTTGAAATGTGCTCCTTCTTTCGAATGTTTTTTTTACTGTGATATTTTCATGGGCCAAGCCTTTTATTGAGGTTTAGATTCGGTATATAATCAGTATATTTGACACAATTTATGGTTTACTTTCACTATCCCTGCTGCTCAAAAGATGCAAACAATGCAAGAGAAGACGTAACTCCCGGAAAATCAGTTCAAAATGTGGACGCTGTCACTAAAACAGAGTCAGCCGAACAGCATCATCCTCCCGGCAAAACTTCCACACTGCATGAAGGTGATCCCCACTCTGTCACAAAGACCACTCTCAGAGTCGTCATGGACAGGGATGAACGCAATCTGAAGTCTTCGGAAGTCTATCCCCGCGATACAGAGACCTACTTCGATCAAACGATTAACGAAACCGAAGACTTTTCCGCCCTAAATGATGATTCCCACAAGCCTGAGACAAGTATGGCAGCCTCAGGAGGTGGCCGACCGAATACCAACACGTCTAATCGTGCGGTGGAGGAAACAAAGGACCAGACTGAGCCGCGAGAGGTTCTCAAACCAGTTAGAGTCCTCGGATTCAATCAAAACGTGCCTGTGATAAACCTAAGCACGGGGCGACATATAAAACTCTTTTACACTTCGGCACACCTGGGTGTTATATACGATGTAGGAAAGAACGAACAAGTCATAATGCGTGGCCATGTAAGTCGTTCCCTGTCTTAAAACGACGATAAGCTTCCATTTGATTCAAATACATTTTACCCCGCGCACGACCTTTTTGCCGAAAGTCCCAGCATGCATGTAGTTTCATATCCGCCAATATTAGGCAGTTTCGATCTAAAATCTATTACTTCCTCAAACCTTACTGCAGCGGGGATATTATTTCTCTCATAACATGTTAGATGCGAGGTCTTTCATGACGAAATATAGCGTTGCATCCACGACTAACCCAAAGTTCACAATTTTATGGGTGGGAAGATTGACGCAACGAGAAGCAATGTGGAAGGCTGGTTGGACTCATCAAAACAAAAATGAGCTGCAAGGTCGCCGATAAATCGTATGCTGGATGGCGGAGGGGTCGCTTGAGCTGAAGTTGCATTTGCCAGTCTAGTCCCGTAAAAATGATCTGCAGAAAGGTGTACCACTTAAATGTTGAGTGGACAGAGGGCTGAGGTTTCTTCGTAAAATGCGGGCCTATAGTTTTATTAAAAGCGCAGTTTCATAAGATATGACTTCAAAATTTGATCGACAGTAAGCATCTAGGAACAGTCGGAAGGTGCTAACTATTATCTTAAAACGATGTCAAGATAATTGCAATTGAAGTCTCTCGGATTCATCGATTCAACTTTGTATGCTGACAACCCAATGGGCGGACTTTCGCGGGCTCACTTTGATATAAGCAAATACGGTAAAATATCAAGTCGGATTTTTTAAAGAACAGAGATTTTACCGATGAAGGGGCATTCCTACCGATCTGGTTACAGTGTAGATCATATTATTATTCGTTTGCATTGCCGCTCCGGTCTAGAGTCCTGAAATACAGTCGCATGCTGACTGGTGCTAATGCAGAATAAATGCGGAAAATGAACCGAGAGCCTGAAGTAATATTTCTGGCCTATTACCCCTCACCAGCCAGACGGACTCTAACACAAAGCTTGGATGACCCGGTACTTTGGTCGTCGGACGCTAAGTTCGTCATAACTTCCACTACGTACCTGGCGCGCGCGCCGCCTGAAGAGCATTTTCATAGCGAGTTTTTGATCGACAGAGTAGTTTTCAATCTCGATCATCCCTAACGATGCATTAGAGTGAGAATACAAGACCTCAGACCAATTAACTTCTTGTTCCAGTGATTGCCACTTTTTCTTTTGAATAGTTATTAATGTTGACGTTATCTGGATCCTGCCTGAGACTCGTCGACCATAGCGAGCCTCGTTAGCCTAGAACAGCATAAGGCGTAGCGGGAGTTATAAGCACGAGAAATGTGACTGTCATTGGACAGAGAAGGGCAAAATCGTTTGCAAATTGTGCACAAATTTACCCATTCGCTTCGCGTGTCTGTTCACCATATTTCCACTCAGCACCTCAACTTATTTCAATCTTCTCCTAATGTATTCGTCCCATCTCAGTCCTCCTTGCAAGCTACTGCTTGAACTCCACGTGCGCCGTAAACAATCGCACGGTGACGTGACCCGAAGAACCTCTATTTTAAAGTGGCAGTACTCTGAAGTGTTAAATCAGCAGCTTCGGATTGAAATTTGACGCAAATTTTGTCGCTGATTTGTCTTCTTTGATTTTTGGATGCCCAGAATTTTTGTTATCTTCACGTAGCTGTAGGCCCTAACAAACCTGTTTGTTTAATATCTTTACATGCTACAGTCGGCAAAATGTTAATGATACTTCTGTGCCTAGGTGAACACTATAAGAAGCACATGCTGCAGCAAGGACAAACGCTGGTTGGTGACTGGTGACTCCGGTCCCGACAGCGCTGTTATCTTGTGGGACGCGAAGACGGTACAGCCGGTGAGAACCATGCTAGATACTCATCCTAACGGCGTGGTTGGCGTTGCTCTGACACCGGATGCGCGCTATCTGGCCACACTGAGTTCCGATATCGACAACCAAGTCTTCGCGATATGGGATTGGACAACAGGCTCGGACGAACCTCTCTGCCACACTAATTTGTCACCAGACTTTGGTCTGCAAACAAAGATTGCCTTCAAAGAGGATGACTATTTTCATGTCATGACAAACAGCGAGACCCAGGTCATCTTCTACGATTGGGTAAGCCACAAACCGGGGCCTTGATTTCCTGAATAATTTGCTTTGATGAACTTTTAAGTAGGCATTTGAAGAAGCTAAGAAAGCATTTTCTGTGTTATGCGGCGCTTGCCGAATACATACCGACGGACAAAACTGTATTGTCGGCGGAAAGTGAAGTATTTTTGAAAGCACACTTAGGTGAGCCAAAAGCCTAAACAAAACCAAAACTGTCTTTGGTCAATTAGCTGTGCCTGGAAAGACTTAGGCTGTATGAACCCGCTCCTCATAGCTTGACAGTTATGGAGTAAACCTTTAAACAATTCATCTATGACGGAAGTCGTGACTACCGCTTTAGACAGAAGACGGGCATCGTTGATTGTTGATGAAAAATGTTGGATCGATATGGTATTACTTCACTTGATGTAACTCATTTTGAGCAGAGGTATTAACGCATGAGCTTGATATTGTAAAACCGCAACTTATTCGAAGGTAACCTCCTGGTTTCGATGTAACATTATCCTTAAGACGAATTTGATATTAATTTTATTGCTGCAAGGGATTCACAAATATCCACTGAAGTTCCTGCAAAGTTCCGCTGTCCTCGGCCCTCCTCCCCCCTCACTAAGGACACGCGTAGTGGCTCAAAATACGGAAATCTTTGCAGGCAATGATAGTTAAGACACCAGAAGCTGCTGACTACTAAAGTAAAAGTGTGCGTTTTACGTAGTTATTCCACTGGACTTCACAGCACAAAAGCCAATGCTTGCATAAAAATCTGGATAACGACGGGCACCTACTGTCTGGGCGACTTTACTATTAATTCGATCGGTGATTTATGCTAAAATTATGAGGAACCAACATTTGAACTATTACCAGTTTTTTGGTGGTCTGACTTGTTAGTTGAGCATAAAGAAATTGCAATAGACTGTGGAGATCGATAACCGACATAACATTTCTGGAGCATTACTTTTCTAAAACCTTGTGCAACGAAAGTGTTGTTGGTCGTTCTTAACTATTGTTTGTCTGGGCACTGTACTCTAATATGACGAAAAAAAAACAGTTCGTATACCTGGCGCTCAGAAAAGCATAAAAAGGTGTAGATCTCTTCGAAAATTTGGAGGTTAATGCCCTAAAATAACCCTTTCGCGCCCAGCGAAAAAGGACAGGCGCCAAAGGTCAACGTTCTGATAATCGGAAGTTTTCTTATCTAAATTTGCACAGACTACTTACATCTTTTGACGAAAAGGACAGTCGTTTTAGCACATTTTTGTCCCGTTATCCAGAATCTGAATGGCCCAATGCAGTCCTATGCTCCACCTCTGAATAATGAAACATTTAAGCAGAGTGTCGGCAAATTTTCGAACTCCACGTACCTGCCTTTCACCACTACGGCATTAACTGGCACATCAAGAGGCATACTAGTTGTTTGGCAAACCAGTCACCGCCCCAAGAAAGGTACGTTGGCGATGATATATTGTTTCTTTTGACATTTAATCTTTTCCGCACACAATAATCGTCATTTTCTAGTTCATCCCTCGGCCACTACTGGATATAAATAGAAACGAATGTTCAAATTCCGGGTGTGTACGTAAGAAAAAGACTGGTTGATCACCGAAACCATTTGTTTACACTTCTGACTTTTCGAACTCGTGTAGGAGTCCATTGTCAAGATGATGACAGCAACAAAATGAGTGT